AAGGGTCGCTCGTGTTATTCGTACGCCTAGAACAAACACAACAACCGTCACTTTTGGTTGCGTTGTACCACGAAAATGTCTCGAGGTAGGTGGCGGATTGGGTTTGATATACTTGGTAGAGCAAGAAACCATACATTGATCCAGTGAGCCAAGATGAGAGAGAGTACAAGTATCTGAGAAGAGAGAAAGGGCCGAAGTGAGAATATGATCGAGGCGTGTGGCACGGTCGCCAGCTCGATCGGGGACACGCGCGGAGAAGTCGAGTAGTTGGCTCGGGTTGTTGATCAATGCGAAATGCTCTGCTTCGCACCCCAAAGAAGTAATAGTTGAATGTGTCAATCATTCCTGATTATGAATGTTGAAATTTCCCAAGATGGTAACATGGTATTTGGGGTTTGCAAGGAAGTGTTCAGGGTTCGAAGATAAAAAAAATGAAAGATGGAGGAGTGGCTACCATAAAGGTTACGATACAGAACACAAAAGTAATCTTTGAAAGAAGGAAGTCGAAGCTTCACTTACATCAGCAGAAATTCATTATCAAAAACATCAATGACTGGGATTCTGGAGGAGGTGACTGACTGGTGAATAAAGGCGCAAACATTAGCTTTGGATAGAAAGAAGGAGTGGAAACTGTTGTCAGGGACTTGAAGGTTAGTGGTGTCTGACGAGGTAAAAATTTGTGTTCCGATAAAAAAGGACGTGAGCAGAATTAGAAGAATAACGAGATCGAGGTACGTAATCAATATTATGGTTCAGTCCGCAAATGTTGGTTAGTGCAATGAGTATTAAGTGTAGTTCCACGTTCCATAAATCTGAATAATGGTTGTTTAAGTGGATAACTAACAAAATGAATAAAATAAATGGAGCCGATAAGCGAAAGTGCTACCAGTCTGATATGTGAAAAAGGGAGCGGTGCATAAGTGGATTAGCCATGGAAACCGTGATGGCACAGGGTGTCTTTTCAAGCAATTGCCTAACCGAACTCCCCATAATGTGTGGGCTGCGATATTCTGGTGCATAGATTCGTAAAATGGTGAGGCACCTTAAGCTAGCACTGGCCTCGGATAATCACCCTAAAACGATTTTCTAGCACGATATCACCGGAGTATCCAATAAAATGCTGGTCACTATCGCGGCATCAAAAATGGTGTGGCCTGCATCCAGCTCAAAATGGAATCTCCATAAAAATATTTGGGTTGTTCTTCCTCGAAAAGTGCATCAACACTCGAGTTCACACCACAGCACACGAATTAATGACGTTAGTTTGAAAGTGGAATAATATTGATACGGAGTTGGTTCATACATTTTCGTTAAAATTAAAGATGATCTGATGAGGCGTTTTGCATTTCGGCGTTTCATTTGGTCGTCGTTTAGATTCCTAAAATGGCGATGATCGTGCATGGGAAGAGGAAAAAATCCAAAAATGTAGGGGATGCGATACTCTTGACGCTGGGTCTATCTCCACAGTGTTGCTTGAAGCACGGAGACAAACAGTGAGAGAACAAAACAGAAGTCTTTTTTAGATGCAATTCATGAATGTATGAAACATCTCTGACAAACTCACAGGGAACAAAACGAAAGTCAAGTGGATTGTCAGCAAACACTTATACTCACTCTGCTGAATGATTACACTGTCGGTTACGATAGGTTTTCGTTTGTGGTTTAAGAGACCTTTATATATATATATATATATATATGACTCCATGTTTTGGTTATTGTGAGGAAAATGCACTTCCTGGGCACAAGTATATGACTGAACTGACAGAAGATTACCGGATACGCATGCCTGACAAGCGGCAAGAACGGCGAAACTGATCGTGTGTTTCCAGGGAAATTTTTCTAGTCAATCATTTACTACTTATTATGAAGCAAGCATGGTACCACCGTAACAACAATAATAATTAGTTGGGTTAGAATTGGGGTATAAAACAGCGAAATGGAGATTAAACTATTACAGTGGATTAAGATGAGAATAATTTTTGGTTCACCTTACAGTTATTCTCTTTACTTCAATTCTTGATAGGATTAGAAGAGTATCCTGTAGAAGAATGCTACGAAGATTTGACCATGGTTCAGTCAATGCACGATTTGACGGATACTATCGCTGAATCACCTCCGATGACATCTCCACCCGTTGAGATAGACCGGTTTCCCGCTGTGGAAATTGAAGAACCAATTGGTATCCCGGATCATGTTACTAAGCGTTCACCTGATCAAACTAGCCCCGCTCATGAAACACCGAAATCGAACGAATCGGATGTTCCTCCCAAGAAGCGATCGAGGTTCGATTCTCGACGTTCAAAATCCTCACCTAAGGTATCCAAATCGAATTCCTCCTCTTCAAAGCGGAAACCCAATTCGGACTTGTCGGATGATCAGGATTCGGACGAGCAAGATACTGTTAAATCCCGAGTGTCTCAGACGCGCACTAGGAAAACTCCGTCTCGAAGACGGCTACTAAGCGATAGCTCAGAAAATGAAACGGTCGAGGAACCAAAGAAGTTACAGTCACCAATCGGAGTTGTTCCGAAATCCGAACCTGTCGCAAAGAATGATCAGTATCTAGAAAAACAGAAACTAAATGAAGAACCCATGCAAGTATCGGAGACTAAGCAAAATAAGTTGAACAGCGAACAAATCGATCGTCGAAGAAACAAAGAAGATTCCAACAAAAACCATAGAAATCATCCATCAAAAACGAAGAAGCAGCGATCAGCTTCCCGTTCCACTCAAGAATCCCAGAAGTCCTCTGAACAAGAGTAAGTTCTCTTGTCATCTTTTTGAAATCGGCTGTTATAACGTGCTTAGTGCGCATCTCATAATTTGGACAAATATATTTTCTCTGATGTCTTTTGCTTATCCGACGATGAAATAAATCTTGAAATTCGTTATTAACGTTTTTCTACGGTTTTCACTTATTACCTTTTTATTTGGAAGATGGCGGAATCATGTTATATGAACATGCTTTCACTATTATTTGTTTTTACTCAACAAAAAAACGCTCAACAGTCAGGAAGCTCGCAACAAATCGATACCTGCCATAGACCACTAATAAGAAGAGTTATAACTGTTTTCCTTGGATTTCATTACACGGACTACAAACATGAACTTCTTGATCTTTACTGTTGGAGTCATCCTCGGGCGAGCAAAAGGTCGCAGTATACTTCCCTCCGTCAGCGTTATCCTACCCCTTAGGACTGATGCCCGATCGGAGGGTATGGATCATCTCCGCTCTGTAATGTTGAAACTGACTGCTTCAAATATACGTCGTTCTGCCTAGACTTAGTGTTCAATATTTTTGCATTGACTTTCACAAACGAACTTCCTCAGGGTATGGTGAGTGTGGTCACCTAGTGCATTCCGCTCCCTCACCATATAGAATTCGATGATTCTCGGGGTAATATTGGAAACAGACCCGCTTGACTATGTGGTTTGTTCCTTCTACTGCTCATAATACAATGTGTAATAAAAAAGCTCTAGAACTTCGGCAATGTTATTAGACAGCGAAGTAGGAACGTTCATCCAAACCACCGAAATGTTTACTGGAAAACCGAGATAACTGGCCAACACAATTCCTGGTGGGACGTACCCCTATGAGACCATAGAATTATTGGTTCGTGTCCCTACAGCAGGATCTTCGTTTGTAGATCAAGGTTGTCAGTTGGTCTGCTTTGACAGCCAATAATCTTCGTTCATCTGAAGTACTTTAATTTTTTCGGAGCCAGAGTTATGCAGTCGTACTTCACACAGATGGCCGTTATCTACTTAGTTTTTGTGTGGACAGCGTATGCTCGCCCACTGATTGTTCACGTGTAACAATGTTTAAATTGTCAGTTGGTTATATGAATGACGTATGCTGTTGAGGCTTCAAGTTCAACAACAACACCCCAGTCACCAAGAGCGCAACCTATGTGATCTGTCCTTGCACTACGATCAGAAGCATAATCAGAGCATAGCTAGGTCCATTTCTGCCTCCAAAGACCAGCACCGTAGATAGATTGCAGTATAAATCACTCGACATCCGATTTGATAATGCTGATCCATGTTTTTGGTTGTCCTCCAATTCCGCGGCGTGGAACAGGTGAGGAACAGTTTCGAAATTCCACCAACCGAGCACCAAAGGATATGCCCAAACTACTGCAGAATTCGGTCTTGAATATCGACAGCTGTTTAATGTGGAAAGGTGCTCTACGCGCAGTGGCCATGGTTCACTGCCGTAGGTCAATATCAGGCTCAAGCATCATACGCATGACTGGAGCACCTGTGGCGTCGAAGTGATGTTTCACTGAAGTTGAGAAATCACGTATATTGTACCACTATCTGGTCAGTTTTGCTTTACGGTTATGAGACCTTCAATCTGGGATTAGAGGACATTCATCCCATAGAGGTTTTCGACAACGTATTCTGGCAGAGGTGGGATATAACGAGCGGGTTAGTAACCTAGACTTAAGTCGTCGTGTGTTTGGGTATGTGTCGAGGAGAAATCCGCTATCTCATCGAAAAAGCTCAATCAGTTTTGCTGTTTAGGTCTCGTGCGTATGTCGAATGGTCGCCTACCGCACCGCGCCTTATTCCTTGTTACTGTCTTTGGTTGGAGAAAATCACAAGGAGGTCCACGATTGTCGTGGAAATGAGGTACGAAGGAATGCACAAGGCAGTTAGGTAGGGTACATGTCTCCCTCTCTCCGCACTGGGGTCCAGAAGGTTGTAACTGGTGGTTTGGAGATGCCAGCGAACCGACAGCGTTCTTGTTGCCACTTCGTGTCAAACCAGAATCCTTTAAAAGGTGTGTTTGCATACTTAGACTGTACTCTGTGTTGGCTATATGTAATCTTAGCCGTTCCCCAAGGAGAAAATATTCACATTCGGCTTTTTTCAGGGACCAGTGTTTCTTACATGATCATCTCTGTCAGAGTTGAAGGGACATTAAGCTCATAAGGATCTGCGCTGGCGCCCCTCAACGTTCCGTACTTTTCACCACATTTTACTTTTTCCTATTCGCCAAATTCCGGAGCATCGACATTCTTTCTGGAGACCCACGATCTCTGTCTTCTTCGCTCTGAAAGTGGCTTTCGACTCAGTCGACCGCTCTAAACTCCGGCGCTGTCTTTCCCTGTAGGGTGTGCCCGAGAAGTTTATTTCAGCCTTACTATCCCTTTATACTAATGTCCGAAGCCGAGTCTCAGCCGATAGCACTTCACCCGGGTTCACCTCGGAAAGTGGTGTTCGTCAGGGTTGCATTCTCTCTTTTTTTACTTAACTTTGCTATAGATTTGATTCTTGAAACAGCTCTATCCTTGCGCGAGGATAGTGGCATCCAGTTGCTTCCGGATGGTAGACCGTTTGATCTAAAGTATGCAGACGACAATGTGCGACTAAGTGAAGGTAAGTTGCAAGCTTTGCTGGATAGTTAGAGTCCTAATGTAGCCATGTTCTATATACGTTTTGCACCTTCAAAGCATATTTTTACCGTAAGATTGGGTTGGTCCAGCTCCCAGTCTCACTCTAACTGGGGAAGTACTAGAGCAAGTGGATAATTTTTTTGCAGCTATATTTCACCCGTTGGACGCTTCATGAATAAAGTGTCGGCACGCATACAGAAAACTGTATTGGTATTTGCCAACTTGAGATATCTATGGCTCGGTCGCGACATCCGGCTGTCCGTGAACGGTCGATTGTATGCTGCGGAATTTCAGCCAGTTCCGCCATAAGGCGCAAAAACTTATTCATTAAGAAAACAGGATGAAGATAGACTGTCCGTGTTTGAACACCACTGTTCACGCAGAGTTGTACGAATCTGATGGGGAAACCGAACGGGAAATTCTGAGGTCAGGTGCAGGGCTTTGGGTAATTGCAGTCGCTCACTACAGCAAGTGGTCGACCTCCATAAATTACGTTGGTTGGGACGTGTTACGCATGTCACCAAATAGGTTGCCATGACGCGCGATTTTTTCCGATGCGAGTAGTGGGTGGAAAATGCCAAGGCTGATCATAATATGACCTGGCACGATTGTATGAAAACTCTAGGCAGGATATTCGGTCAAATAGGTCCCGTTAGGCTTCCTGGCTGGGGACATCGGGATCATTTTAATCAATGGTTAAAGGCACTGAGTGATATGCCTGAGTATCGTAAACAGTTTATCCTTTCAATTTGCTTTCAACCGTAATGTACTGAAATTGTGATCTTCTCTTCGACTCTACTTTCAACTTTTCCTGTCTTTCTACTACTGCTTCGTCTAAATGGGCAGCCAAAAGATGGCGCCCAAAACCGATGCACGAAAGTGCATTGTTAATTGTTGTACAAACTGAATCTGAAGCTACATAGTCTGTTTGCTTATTCACCTGACGTGCTACGTTATCTATCGTGCTTATTGTCTATAAATATTCCATGCCTCAGCCTGGCCTATCGCTCGTGAATTTCTGTTTCTTATGCCGATACTATGTTGTTGTACTGACTTCCTTTTGATCACAGGATTTTCTCCTGTACTGTTAATCCCCAGGTATTGTGTGATAAATTTCTAGTTCTTGTGATTATTGTGGTCTATCCAAATTGGCTTTTCTACACAAATATGCACCTTGTGCTGTATCTATGCTGTGGTAGTGGCAAAATTATTACGGCCTTTTACTAATAATTGTATCATATCAAGGTAACTTATGCTCACGTGGAGCAACCTACTTTAGTCCCTTTATACATCTCTTGGTATTTTTGCTTCTGTGTCCTGATGAAAACGGTCTCTCTCTCTCTCTCTCGCTTCATTCTGTTAGAACATCCAAAGATGTTGATTCACGAACAACCAAGAAGCCTCGTACACCGGAACGTAAGTCCCGAAATGTTCATTTCACAATTTTCTGCATTCAGAAATTGTTTTGAAGAACTCTTGTGCAAAGATCGATTTCATGAAGGATCTGATTATGAGGCGTGAAATCGATCGTGTACTTCTGTTCGCTATTAGGCTCTCATTTCTTCTCCAACTCTGTCTTCCTGCTTGAAAAAACATTTGCCAATATGCTTAGCCTTAGTTAATCACGTCAGTACATAGAAACACTATTATTTATCATCGGGGCTAGGAATTTTCGGCGATCCGGTGTTATCTACTGATTGTTGGTCAACAGTTCACATGATCATGAGATTTGTGGAACCATACTAAGGGGCTATGTTGATCAGGCTTTTCGTGTTCCCAACTGGTGCGCGACAACACCCGTAACTAGTGAACGGGAGATGCAAGAATATGACAACAAACCGAGAGAAACGCCTTTTGTGATTATTTTTCGTGATTTTTTGTGATGAGTACCTAATGAGTGGTTGTGTTTCCGTGCACAAATAAATTGCCCGTTCTCTTTTTTTATTTTCATAGCAGATCAACTGTCGATTCACTTTTCACTTTCGTATTTTCTTTGTGTTTGTGACTCTGGAAATAATCAACAGTTCTTTACACAGTAATACCCTGTACAATTGGAATGATAATTTACGCATTGGCATGATGTAGAATCGTCCTAATTTTTCGGGACTGTTCTGTTGTATTTTTTTCAAGCTGTAACTCTTCTGGTTTCGTTCCAAAGTTCCTCCACAGGCCTCTCGATTCTTTTCCAACCCTTCTGATTGAACTTATCGAAAAAAGGTTTTCTGTTACACCTGCATTCAAAGCAAATGCATTGCTTCTTAAGCTGTCCCAATAGTTGAAAGTGTTGCTATTGACCACTTGATATTCAGTTGCATTGTGCTGTCACATCGTAATCAATTTGCGCTTTCTGCTATGCGAATCCCTAGGTGAGCCAAGTGGAGTATCGCCTGCACTGGCATCCAGTGTTGTCTCTCAGTTGTGTCAACTTTGCCGCGAGCTAAAAGCCAGTCTGGTCCGAGGGCACGAAAATTTCGCACTCGCTGTTGGTTTCTTGACACAGCTGACTACGATCCCAGCCCGATTACCAGAACTCGCCCAAGCCTGGGATCTAATGGATTGTATAAAAAAGGTGATTGGCTCTGCCTTTCGTGGTTTGTGAATAATTGCTATTACACAGTACTGAATCAAAATCAGGAAATTCATAATCCACAATTGCTATCTGCGTATTTTTTTAGTTTGCAATACCCCTTGCACTGCGCTTTCGTCCTCTGATTTTACTTGTCTTTTGGTCACCCACTTAGTTGATTGGCATGCCTATAATTGATGTATTGTTTATAATATAAATATAGATTGTTGCCAAGATAACTGTGTTCAGGGAGCGGGTCGATGCAGGAATGTCACTGTCTACGACCAAGGTGAAAATGCTCAGAAATCAAGTAGATGCTACTAATATCTGCTTGAGGATGAGTCGGCTGCACAAATTCCTCTGACTGTGGCGGCTCGTATAGAGTGAACTCATCCTTGTATGTACTCTTGCCACTCACAAGCGAACCGTCCTTGAGAGCTGATTCCAAAACTGTTCCAGTTAACGGATGAAATCGCTCAGCTGCCTGTGTGAGCAGAGGGAACTGATGATATCGATGAATTAATAATGAAACACTGAAAGAACGAGAGGCTTCCAGTTGAAATGGTGTTTTGTCGAGCATCAACCTCACCTGGTGGACTTCAGGCTTAGCCTTTTGCTTTTAGATCCAGTTCTAANGTTCTAACGGTCAAATCGAACGTGTCACTTCGTCCATTTTTTCTTTCTTAGTTTCTCGTAATCAACCGAATCTTTTTATCAATAAGTTCAATTGTAGCACTAAAAGTTCGAGTTGGGTTGAGGTTCATGGATGTTTGGGGTTGAATTGATTTTGATCTGTGTGGTCTTACCTGCAGCTTCCAAGTTATACAATCTACTTGATTGTTGTGCCTTGTGTTCACTGATCCAAAGCTGTAATAGAAAAGAATTATGCAGTCTATTTACGGTCATAAGAAGCGGTCAATGAAAGGGTTGTCAAGTGGCAAAGAAAACTGTAGAATTAAGGCGGGGCTGGTGGGATGCAAACATCCGACCCGCAATCCGATGCAACGGTGTTCTGTACCGCCCAGTTACCGTCGAGGTCGACGTAATATGAACAATTCGTCATTCGCTGCCCAAGAGTAGTTGCACTGATGAAGTAGTACCAGGAGTTAATGAGTTTAGATTTTTTTGGTGCATTGAAATGCTTGAACAATTCGTCCATTTATGTATTGACCGTATACATTGATCTTAGTGTATGTTAGGTATACGCGTTGTGGCTATCTCCATTCACCTAAAACTTTTGTCGTTCATTGTTTTCCGAATCCTCGTGTCGATGTTTCTTTTCAACTCACTGAATCAATTGTTTATTTTCAGTGTCGGCGGTACAAACTGTCAGCAGAAGTTCGTGAAGCGGCCGAGAAGGCATTGAAACGATTTCAGTCAATCCGGAGCACAGCAACCAAAGAAGAGGTAAGTGAATAGATTGCTCCTGAGGGAATCGTTGAATGATTCACGTACTCTTGGTAATCTTGTGTTCCGTTTTTAATGTTTTATTCGTCAGAATGCCTCATTCGTCAATTGTCTTTATATTAACCTTTTGAAATGGGTTTAGTGACCCATTTTACGCTTGAATTTCATCCAAACTTTCGTCATAGATTGAGCATCTGTGGTACTGTTGCCTAATTTGGCACTATTGATCAGGCTCCCGAAATCTTGATTTCGACTGGTTCTTTGAGTGGGACTCCTCACTTACGTTACGAAAACACCTTAATTCTAGAGATCAGTAAAATTGTTCATTGTCACCCGACCGTATAATTAATCGTTTTCACAACCACTGACATGCAACAATTTTGGTTGCTATCTTTCTGCTACTCATTTGGTGGACTACTAAGAAAGAGGTAAATCAGAGTTTAAAACGATGTGCAGTATCAAAATAAAGGAAACTCAATTTGCGTAGAACGAGTAGATTTCCAAGCACTACTGTTTACGACAGCCATACTCTCGAGTGCTCCTAGACATCAATGAGGTCATGAGAGCCCCCCCTTGCAATCGCCCTTGACGTTCAACCCAACTGCCTGCCGCGGCAAACATTTCACAACTACGGAGCCTATCTGGTGTTACGATTAACAATTAACCAAGTCACCATAATTTATAAGGCTCAAGCAAGTGCATTATCGGGTGCCCGCGATTACCTGAAATTGCACCTAGCCTCACCTTTGCTTATTTGCTTACCCCACCATACTCGTGCAATCCAGAGTAGATAGTGGTGTTTGAACTACGCATGCTCAATAGCTATGCAAACATAAACCATAAAGAAAGACGTACAGCTTACCCGAGTTTTCACTCGAAAATACAAGACATGTGCGTGCTCCAAATCAGACGACTTTCCACCTGATTAAATATAGACATCGCCATTCTCGCACACGTACTAAGTGACTTCGAAAATCATTTGTACCACAATGTTGAAGAGAACCATAGGGGAAGCCCCAACAAACACCTCTCCCGGCCTTTAGATCATGAAGAGTGAAAAAAATGAGCTAAAGAAGACACTTCTGTGTTCCAGAATTTGTCAAAGAATGAAAACGTTATTTATCGTTTGCCTAAATCTAAAACCAGCCCGGATGGAGTATAAAAACAACGAGGAACTTTGAAGTGACGTTGTCTAGGTTAGTTAGGTCCTAAGATTCTCACAAGGTGGTTGATCTTTCTTTTAAATCGTCAAGTTAACCGATACATACCACTTCCGAAATTTCACTTTCTCAAAAGTTTTCATAAACTCAAAGCCAAGTCTGAGCCTTCATCCTTTAAAGGTGGATGAAGACAATCTGTTTGAATCAGAATATTTTCACCCCGAATTTCCACTGATAATGTTGCCTAGCCTGGCTACGAAACTTTTGCGTGCAACACCAGCTCGGAGATCACAGCAGTAACAACATCCGCATTCCGAGATACAACCATTCCACATTATTTCCATCCCTTGAGTTATCCCATCTTCCAAGTAACCTCCATTTCGTAAATAGAGCTGGTTTAAGCGGGCAGTAATTGTCTAGTTGAAGCAGGACTTGCCAAATTATTTTTGATGAAGAGCAGCTGGAAGCTTCTGTCCATAGCTCAAAATAGCGTAGCTGAATGTGAACCGGTGTGCTATCGGACTCGTCAATTACCCATTTTCCGTAGCCCCGTACATCTATTTAGACGGGAGATATTGCTACTGTTGCTGATAGCTACAGCTCTGTTTATCTGCATTTTTCTACCTACCACCTCAGGTCATTGACGGGCTGGCTGCATAGCGTCAAGCTTAGTTTTCGAAGAAATTACTGCGAGCATCCAGCGTATCAATGGTCGAGAAGACTCATTGTTTATGCCTGAATCGTATGCCAGAATCCACCGCTGTTTAGGTAAACGTTTCGATAACCTCCTTGATTGGGTTCGGTGTTTGTTGAGTTTTTCGATGAGTGTTTGTTTTATGGCTTTTTGTGAAAGCTCCTCTTCGATAACTGGTGTATAGTTTTTGCTTCACAATGTGTTTATTCGTTTTCGGTGGCTTTATTGCGGTTGTTTATCAAGCGTAGGTATCGTCTGGCTCGTGCCAGATCTTAATCCGTATCCGTGGGTGTTGTTGATCTAGAGTACGCAGACGACATTGTGCTACTAAGTGAAGATCCAGGTAAGTTACAAGCATTTCTGGATAACTTGAATGCTGGTGTAGCCATATTCTGTATGCGTTTTGCACCTTCAAAGTGTAAAATGTTAC